CTCTAAAAACTCCGCTAGATTTAGAATTTTGAACTGGAGAAAGTTCATCAAATTTGATGCACAAAAGTTACATGATTGAGTTCTAGTGAAAAAGCGGCTTATCAAGGAAAGGGAATTTGTGAATCAAGGATTCAGCATGTCGAATACTCGAGTGGAAGAGACTATTGTGCAGAGGAGATGGGAAGTGCTTTGCTACACTACTACTACAGTTTTTGTTTCTGTAGTAAAAGAATTTTATGCAAATTTTCGTGGGATCAACCATAGAATGATCTACGTGCAAGGCAGGTTTGTTCAGTTCACTCCTTCAAGAATAAACGAGTTGTTTATGATTGAGAATGTGCCTATCTCCCATTATGCAAATTTTACCCCTATGAGAGATAATATGAATGAACTCTACCGCTACTTTATGGATGAGGGTGCGAATTAGGAGACTAGAGATGATGGAAATGTAAATTTTCCCTCATCATTTTTAAATCAAGTTTCAAAACCTTGACATTTCTACATTGCATCTAAATTACTGCCTACCATGAAAATTAGTAAGGTAACTAAGGAGAGTGTTACTCTGAACAACTATATTCAAACCGGAAAAACTATTAAAGTTGGAACTATTATTGTGAAATCATTTTTGGGTTTGATTGTCAATGGATCTATAACTGGACTTTGATATCCATCCACTATTTTCTTAATGTGATTGGGAATACTACTGAAATGCTGGATCACCTGGATTGGAGACTAAAGGAACATTTTGAACATATTGGGCCTATTGAAGATGGTTTGGTATGTATGTTCAAGAAACATTTTTGGATTGAGGAGGAAAATTTAACTGATGAATTTCCATATCAAACTTTCTATAATTTGTATGTGCACTATCAATCTATGGGAGATATCCATGAGGATGATAGTGAAGAAGATGTTTGAACTTAATACATGCATGTAATTTCTGTTTATTACTGTTTGTTTTAGTTATTTTGTTGTGTTGGATTGAATTTCCTTTCTATTGTAGAACACAATCTATGTTTATGTTTTGAAATTTGATGTTTATATTTTAGTGTTTGGATGTTAGTTTACTTCAGAACACTGAATTTGATGTCTGTTGGCTTGAAAATTGTTAGTTTGTAATAGCCCAAATTTTACCTATAAATATGAGTTTTGTGTTGTTTGTGAAATTTTGGTGTTAGTGTGATGTTTAATTATACTTAGAAATGTTTATTTGAGTCAAATAGAGGTTGACGTAAAGTGGTACGAAGCAGATTTCCGTAGAAACTAAAATCTGATTAATTTAAGCTCTGATGCATGATGCACCAATTTTTAGAGCCTTGGCGCATGATGCGCCAGAGGTCCGAACACGCTATATTTCCTAGAAAATTCTGAAATTTCATGGATGTACTCAATTTTCATTCAAGTATAAACTCCATTTTTGTTTCTTAAGTCATCTCTTACCTTAAGATCTTGGTCTATAGCATCACATTGTGGGAGAAAGAGAAGGATTCAGAGGCTAAAAAACATAGATTTCATCTTCACTTTAACTTAGAAATTTTTTATTTTCACCATGGATTTAGGAGATCCAAATTTTGGGATTTTTGATGATAAAGTTTGAAGAAAACTCATGGTGAAATGTTTCTTACCAAATAATCTTACTTGAGGAGTTAGATTTTTGATTTAGCAAATTATTTAAAATTATTTGGATTTTTCGTAGAATTTTTAAGTGGTTGTTCAAGTTAAGAGAGGAAGGCCATCCATAGATTTTCATAGAATTTTCAAATGACAGATTTTAGCAGATTTTTTTGCAGCACACCCACTTCCAGCTGAGTCCCCACTTAAAGATGAATTACCAGATGAATAAGTATTACAAATGGAATTCTCTAGTGTACAATTTTGGGAGATGAACTTTGATGGAGCTTCATCATCCAAAAAAGACAAAGGACCAGGAAAACTTATACAAGGTGAAGCGAGAATTGATTTGATTTTCATTATACAAGATAAGGGTATGCTGAGATTCTCCTACCACCTGACAGAGCTATGCACCAACAATGAAGCAAAATATGAAGCACTAATTACTAGATTAGAAATGACAATCTCGATGGATATAGCAGATATCACCATTTATGATAGCTCACAACTCATCATCAAACAAGTTGCCGGACAATATAAAATTTTGATACCAGGATTAGCAGAATACCACCGATACCCGATGAAACTGCATGAATAGATCCCAGTGTGACTCTCTACCAGATTCCTCAAGGAGTAATGCCCATGCCGATGCTTTAGCAAAACTTGCAAATGAATTGGCTTGTCCCCCGAAGAATTCCATTGACATTACAGTACAAGGAAGATGAGTTTTTGCCTTAGATTGACCTCGACAATCTACATAAACTTGAAAAAGAGGAAGGAATGATGATTGCAGTTGCTAACATCAATGGACACCAGAAAATTACCAGAGGACAAGCGTGAGGCATATCATATCACAAGAAGGGCTATGTCATATGCTCTAGTGGGTGATGTCCTCTACAAAAGATCATTATACCAGATGTGGCTACGATGTATAAGCAAAGCAGAAGCACAAAATATCATCAAAGAGGTACATGCCAGATTGTGTGGTGCTCACTAGTCAATGCCAAAAATGTTGATGTACGATTGGCCAACGATGATGTACGATTGCATGGATACAACTAGAAAGTGTCACCTTTGTCAAGTGCAGAGGGTGGTCTTACCCTAACCTCAGAATGTGCTACACCCAACTGTTGCCTTGTGGCCATTGGAATGTTGAAGTACAGACATAATAGGTCCAATAGATCGTCCAGCATCTAAGGGACACAGATTCATTCTTGCCGCTATGGATTTCTTCTCTAAGTGGGCAGAGGTAGTGCCATTATGAGAGGTTACAACACAACACATCCTTCAATCTTTCAAAAGTCAAATTGTCTACTGTTTCGGAGTTCCGCACTGAGTGATTTCCGATAATGGGAGAGCCTTCAAAAGTAGAAAGATTAATAACTTTTTCAGACGACATGGGATAGACTAGACATACTCCACAATCTACTATCCCAGGGCAAACAAACTGGCCGAAGCCTTCAACAAGAAGCTCGTGAAAATCTTAATAAAGACACTGGATGAAAACAAAAGAGATTGGCATAATAACTTGTTAGATGCTTTGTGGGCCTACCAGACGATGTTAAAAACTCCTACTCAATGTATACCCTATGCACTTGTGTACGGGTTTGAGGCCGCACTGTCGGTAGAAGTTCAGACACTGTCTCTCAGAGTCACCGTTGCCAACCAAATCACAACTAAAGATAGTGCAAAGCTCAGACTTGAAGAATTGGAAATTCTCGAGGGAAAGCGACTAGAAGCACAGCAGAATTTGAAACTTTACTAAGTGAGAATGGTACAAGCTCATGACAAATTGGTCCCCCCGAGGACATTGAAAGTGGGTGACCTCATTCTTGTTCTTAAAAGACTTATTCTTGCATTCGCAAAATAGGTGGAAAGTTTAAACCAACTTGGAAGAACCATTTGTCGTAGAAAAGGTCTATTAAGGAGGACCCTACCAGTTGGTGGATTTTCAAGGTGAATGACCATTGCTACCGGAACCATGTTGTCGATCAACGAATGATACTTTTGAAGACATAATATACAACTTGATGCTGCTTGAAATTGCCTTTTTGAAACTTTGATCGTTCTAGGGTTATTTATTTGGCCAAGCGTCTATGACTGGGTCCAAAATTTTGTAATGAAGTTAACCTCAATCAAATGAAAACTTTTGAAGTTTCATACTTTGATTTTCTCCTTTCTGCTTTTAATTTTAATATTCTACTAGATTAAATCAAATAAAAAATATATATATAACTAAATAATCTTTACACCTGTGTAAACAAAAATTTTGTCTGATAAATGTTTTGTTTTGTTCTTTTTCCTGCTAAATTTTAGCACGCTGATGTTTTTCTATCATCTGTAGAAAAAAATATCAGGATAAAAGCTGATTCTGGCTTTCAAGGATGGCTGGAATCTTGCACTTAACAAGGAAAGGGCACCTCAGGGAATGATCATAGACTTTGACTTGGACTTCAATTAGGTCGACGTGAACTATGAGGGTCCCCTGATGGACATAATCAGTCGTTGCAAGAAAGAAGTGCTACCATCACTATTAAATATCAACACTAAATAAGATTCCTCATAGAAAAGGAAGAAAGTGATAGTGCAGCAGAATTCAATGGAAGGGACTAGTGGCTTGCCGTCTATGATTCTTCACCAACAGGACATCTAATTAGTGTTAATGATGGGAGACTGCCAGATGCGCCGTTAAGAAGAACTCTATGCAGAAACACTAATAACAAAAAATAGAGAGCTTTCTAATGTGAAGAGAGAAGGCACCTAAAAGAGGCAGAAAACTTACTTACCCCAATTCCTGAAGGAAAGATATACAACACTTGCATGAGAGAGACTTCCTCTAGTTTGCCTACTACAGAGGGTGAGTTCGATTTAACCACAGAGCTGATGTTCTGGCAATTACAGATGTGCTTTGTGCGGGTTGCACGATGTGCAACGCCGAGATCCCCAGACAGATACTAGACACATTTTGTAGAATGCCCAGAATGTAACGTCCTCCACTTAGAGCATTACAACACTCTGGAGTAGTACACATCTATCGATGGTGAATTTTAGACTACCGACCACTCAGTTGGAGGATCATACATCCTATTAGATACATAGACATCACAAACATGGATTTATGTAGATGTTGAAATGAGGGACGACCCTGACAGTCGCAGATGATTACCATGACATAATTTAACAAGATGAGCAAAGTAAAGAAAAGAAAGTTTAAATTCTATGAAGAAGTTCAAGGAAAATTTCTCAAAATACTAGAAGGTATGGAATTGTACACCAGAGTCTATTATGAAAGTGAAGAAAAAAGCATCCTTGATTGCATTTTTGATATGAGAGACAAAGGTTGAGCCAGTCTTCCAATGGAAAGAACTTACTCGGATCCATGAAAGTGGATGCGTGGAAATGGTAGGATAACCATTCAATGTGGTTGTTGCTACAATTTTACTAGGGATAAGCAAGGGAACCACCCGAAGATCTTAAGACAGGATGAGGTGGATCCATTGCCTCCCACAATAAAGTGGGAAATAAAAAGAATGGTCAAGTGGAGCGTGCTGCCAGTAGACTGCATTCCAAACAGTTATATCATCAACATTTATGAAGAGAGAGACTCTATTCCCTCACATATAGATCACCATGATTTTGTCAGACCTTTCTGCACGGTTTTGTTAATGAGTAAAAGTGACATTTTGTTCGAAAAAGAAATCGACGTTGTGGGATTGGATGAGTTCAGAGGATCAATTGCAATTCTGCTGCAGGTGGGTTTGATACTAATTTTAAAGGGAAACAAAGCCAATCTAGTGAAGCAAAACATTCCTGGAGTTCCACGATGCAGAGTTTCCATTACACTTAGAAGGATGGATGACAACAAGATGCTATATGAATTACGACCAGATCCAGAATTGGAGGAGATATAGCTATACGAGCTATAAGATGGTTGTACCTCCAAGTACACACAAAAGAAACTCTTGTCCTTAAGGGTGGCTTAGTAGGTCAACTTGATCAAGAGCTCGTCCCACTGAGGATAGACAAACAGTTTTTTGTACTGCGTCAGAGTAGCAATATGATTTGTACTCAGCATATGATGTTTCAGATGTATTTAGCATGATTGTCGCTTTTGATGCTTTTAGCATGTATTCAATCTTTAATACCTGTTTGAAGCAGATTGATGAAACTTCATTTAGATTTCAGTATATTTATCAAATTTCCCTTTTGTGCGATGGATAAAAAGCCCCAGAACCATACATTAGTTTTGAATTATAATGAACAAAGAACAAAACAATAAAAAAATTGATGCTAACAAAATTTAAATAAAATATCCTTTTGAAAAATCAACCAAAAAAAATAAGTTTTGAAAACATACTTCGATAATTAAATGTGATAAAAATAATAAGAAAAGAAAGTGATAAAATTTGCTGAGTTTGTTTCTCTCGAGTTTGAGGTTTCTCACTCTTTGTTTGTGCAACACGACTATCTTGATCTGCACCAATTTCATCACATTCCAGTAGAGTTTCATACTCTGCACAAAGTCTCACAAACTTTCCTCACCAATGTTAATCTTCACATGTCACATATCTATGAGATTAACACCACAAACTCTCTACACTATTTTCATGTTGTTCTCGGGGTTAGTATCTAAATTCTGATTCCCATTTTTTGAGGTCGGTACCTAAATGCTGATTTTCTTTTTGGGACTGATACCTAAATTTCAATTCTCATCTCGGGGTCAGTACTTAAATTCTGATTCCCTTCTTTTGAGGTCGGTACCAAAATTTCGACTCTCTTTCTGGGATTGATAACTAAATTTCAATTTCCATCTCGGGGTTAGTACTGAGATTCTAATTCCCTCCTTTTGAGGTTGGTACCTAAATTCCAACTCTCTTTCTAGGAGTCATACCTAAATTTTAATTCCCATCTCAGGATCAGTACATAAATTCTAATTCTCTCCTTTTGAGGTCGGTACCTAAATTCTGACTCTCATTCTGGGATTGATACCTAAATTTGAATTCGCATCTTGAGGTCTTGGGATTGATACCTAAATTTGAATTCGCATCTTGAGATCTGTACCTAAATTCTGATTCCCTTCTTTCTAGGTTGGTACCTAAATTTTGATCCATTCCCTTCTTTCAAGGTTGGTACCTAAATTCTGATCTTCTTTTTGGTTCAATTCTCATCTCGGGGTTGGTACATAAATTCTGATTCCCTCCTTTCAAGGTCATTACCTAAATTCTAATTCTCTTTCTAGGATTGATACCTAAATTTCAATTCCCATTTTCGGGTCAGTACCTAAATTCTGTTTCCCTCATTTCTAGGTCAGTACCTAAATTTTGATTCCCTTTCTGGGTTTAATACCTAAATTTCAAGTCCTATCTACACTTTTGGGTTAGGCTTAGACGTCCTACTCCCATCCTCACATTTAGGGTAGGCTTAGACGTCATATTCTCATCCTCACTTTTGAGATAGGTTTTGATGCTCTATTCCCTTTTCTGTGCTTGTTTTTTCCACTCATCTTATTTCTTCACACATAATTTCATTTCCTTGAAAATTTTAAATTGAAATCCAAACTTTCTTAGATATATTTAATTCAAATCGTGTCTTCACTAGGACTACCGGTTTGCCCGATGATTGTCCCCAAAATATCCTTTATTTTCCTCAGTGAGAGTGAATCCAAACTTTCTTAGATATATTTAATTCAAATCGAGTCTTCACTAGGACTACCGGTTTGCACGATGATTGTCCCCAAAATCTCCTTTATTTTCCTCGGTGAGAGTATCTGTTAATCTCCCTTGGAAAAAACTATCACTCATTTCTACACTTTGTTCAAGGTTAATTGACTTAGAAGTCTGTGTTGATTTTATTGATCTCGTCGGTCAACGCCAATACCTGCGGTGTGCTTGTCTGGTACACCACACCTATTGGGGGTCCATTTGTTGACCTCACATTTGGTTGAGGTCTAGTTTCATCCTTAGTAGCCTAGGGTCTTGTCATAGGAATTTTCTGTTGATTATTCTTAGAGGACTAGAAAAGGAACTCTCACCATTAGAAACTCTAAACTCTTCTATGCTCAACTTGAAGTTCCACATATTGGTCCTAACCTCTAGCACTTAGTAGGTGGGATCAATATGGGGGAGCTCAAGGGGCATCCCCATAGGACTGCTTGGTCTTAGGGTTGACGTTGGGTGTTGGTCCAGAGATAGTTGACTCACTTACACTCACTTTCACTCACATCCACTCATAACCCTAAACCCAAATTTGTTGACTTTGATCCCTTGATCTTTTGAGAGACTCATATAGATGGTCTCCTAGACCCACTAGCCCTAGGCTAAGGTCTAGGCCAATAAGCTAGAGTATAGCTAAGACCAGTACATGAAGGACCCAATGTAGAGGATTCCATTGGTCCATAACTCAAATGGGGTGGTTGGCACCTCACTTTCACCAAAATACCTACTTAGCCTTTTAACCCCCAAATTTACCCAATTTACCAAAATACTCCCAAATTCCAAATTTGATCAAAATTCCCAATTACACCCAAAATACCTAAATTTGTCCAAAATCTTTTCAAACCATTTTAAACTACCCAAACTGCCCCAAACCACCCAAAATTGCCAAAATTACCAAAATTACCAAATTGGTGCAAACTTTCCCAAAACCTCCAAAATCATCTCAAATGCCCCAAAAATCAATTTGGACTCTTCAATTGAACCCAATTTGACCATTTTGACCTATTTTTACCAAAAACCCCAAATTGCCCTTAAAGGTCTAATTTCCCCAAATTCACCCCAAATGTCCATCAATTTGACCTAATCTTCCTTAGTTTCAATTCTAATATCAAATTCATCATGATAAAATTCAATTCAAACCAAATACAAGTCCAATGGTCCCACATTTATGTTTAATTTCAACCTAAACCAAAAGCCCCAATTTTACCCAAGCTCAAAATCCTGTTCAATTGAACCCCCAAATCCATCCAATTACCCCAATTATGCATCATAAACTCTTTGAAACATTTCCACACATCACATTGAACCCTAAATTGACCTTGATCATTCTTAAATTTCACCCAATTTTAACCCAAATCCAAAAATCCAAATTTGCCCCAATTTGGCTATGTCTCCAAATGTCACCTAATTGAATGCCCAAAATTGACACCCAATTGATGTTGAAAACTCTTCATGATATTCCCCTAGACCATTTTCAACCATCAATTTGAACTTAATTCAACTTTAACCCAACCTAAGCCCAAGTCTGTCCTAACATCACTAAATTGATCACATGCCCAAAATCCATTAAATTGGACCTCAAAATCAATTCAAAATCTCTTTAAATCTTTTCTAAACCCTTCATGACAATCACCCGCACCAAACTACACCAAGTTTCTCAATCAATTGAGTTCAAAGTAATGGCTAGCCTAACCCAAACCCAACTTCAAAATAATTTGACCCAAATTGAACCCATGCACCAAAATTGACTTACCCATGCCAAATGAATCAATCCAAGACATCTACAGTCACCAAGTACACCCTAGTGACCAGACTAAACCCACCTAAACCAGCCAAGGTGGTCTATGGACTAATGGTTCCCTAAATTAAAGGAATTTCATCCCATTTATGGGTTTAAACCAAAAAATTTCCACCATCATGCCAAACCATTAGTGGTTAATCATAATTAACCCTCCCTCTGGCTCACCTGACTACCTGACCACCTCCTCTGCTCTGGCCAACAGCCTTAGTCGCTAGAGAACTATAAAACCAAGAGCCACCACACCTAATTTAAACCCAATTCCACTCATAGAATCTAGCTCATCCAAAATGTCCTTTAAAGCTTATTAGCCCTCCACTTCAGCTGCCTTTTTCACCTGAATTGAAGCCTTGAGCTCCACCCTAAGCCATTCTCTTTAAACCCCTCCTCCATGGTCAAAGAGGAGAGCAATCCAATTTCCTTGGGGAAACTCTGCCTAATTTCTCTCAAACACTCTCCAGGAACTCTTAAGCTCATTGCAACCGTTTTCCTTCTCTGGTACCCACTGTGAGAGCTCAATTTTGAGTTCAAAATTTGTCCAAAAACCAGAACATATCTTCCCACACTTTCATAGTCCACTAAAATTCAATTAATTATGCACACACAATCCACACAGTGAGAGAAGTTGATTCCACAAAGAAGCCCCTTCACAGGGAGCCCCTAGCATAGAATTTGACCAACACCTGAAATCAAGCTTAGTCAAGAACATACCTAGAAAATTCACAAGGGCTTGAGAATTCATTTGGTGGCTTGTTGGACTCAATCAAAGCTACCACAACCATCTGATTGAGGCCTCCCCTCCACGAAAAAGGTATTGAATCTCAATCCTAAATCGAGCTCATTTTGATTCTCCATGTGTAATGGCTTGATTTTATGCTTGATCAACCATATAGATATATTCATCTTGAGTAGATGAAGGTCTAAAAATAAATCCCATGCAATTTGGTTGAGTCTAGCTTGAGAACGTAGGGTTTTAGTGTAAACAGTTCTCGGATTAGGTCACTTGGGGAAGATGATTGAGAGCCATCTGATTGCACGTTTATTCAACGGACGGATGAGAGAAAGTCAGACGTGTGGATGGAGCAAAAAGGTGGGTTGATGAAGTGGCTACGTGGCTGGTGGTGTCAAATGGCGGAGCGCCGCGTGGAGACTTTGGAACGAACAAGTTTGAAGTGGCGCCGCGTGGATAAGTAGATAAATCGGGGAATTTTTGATTTATTTTTATGCCTGATTTGATTTACTTTTATGCCTGATCTTTGAAAAACCATAACTTTGTGTAAAAAAATCATAAAAATAAAAGAAAAATACCCTGTTGCTCATGAAATAGAAGAAAATAATGTGGATCAAAAATAAAAATTGTTTGTTGGCTCCCTGATTTTTCATGAATTAAATACCCTCT